AGCGCACTCTGCGTGGTATACAGCCAGTGAACCATGCACATATAACAGCTTTACAATTTATTTTCTTTTTCCAGGGCAGAGCAGAGCTCACTTTTACTTTCTATAGCCTTGCGCCCTTTAAACTGGTTTTTGGCTGTGTAGGAGTGGGCTACGCCATCTGCCTGATCGACATCTACGTGGGTATGCACTACAACACCATCATCGGCTGGGCGCTGTACTACCTGGTGGAGAGCTTCCAGGCCGAGCTGCCCTGGACGTCGTGCAACAACACCTGGAACACCCCGAACTGCACGCCCATCATGATGGAGCAGCAGAACGGCTCCACCAGCCCGGCGAAGGAGTTCTTCGAGTACGTTTTTCACCACCGCCACGGTGTTGTCGGTATAGCATCGCCGCCTTGGTGCACCGAGATGACGGCGCCCGTTGTGTCTGCAGGCGTAGCGTCCTGGAGCAGCACCTGTCTGACGGCTTGGACCGCATGGGGCCCATCAAGTGGAGCCTGGCGCTGTGCGTGTTCGGTGTATTCGTACTGGTGTACTTCTCGCTGTGGAAGGGCGTCCGCAGCACGGGCAAGGTGAGTATCCAGCGTCGCAGTCCGCCCGGGGCTTATATTGGAGCGACGGGGCAAAAATAGAGGGAAATACCCGACGGTTTTACGAGACTGACCCAACAAAAGAGAGCCCGGTGGTCTGCTCGATAGCAGGGCTCTGCTTCCGCCACCACCCCCACCCCCTTTTCCCCTTCGCCCTTCCCCCGGACGGTCTGCTTTTCACTTGCATTGTTTTAATCCCATGAGCAAGGCCGTGATGATCAGCGTGGGAAGAGCCGCGAATAGCATATTTTTTCTCATTTTCTTCTTCCTCAAAATAGAGTTCCCGTGCCTTCGAGAAAAATTACAACGAACGAACGAACGAACTAACGAACGAACGAACGAACGTGCGCGGCGGGAGTCAGCCACGAGGTATCAACATTTCCGGGCTGTAAAAGCGACTCCCAGCAGTGTAGGGGGTGGGGTGGGAGGTGACGTCCTGGAGAAGCTTGTGAATAAACGCCCGGCGATCTCATCCACTCCACTCGACTCCCGCTCCAGGTCTCTCTCTCCTCCAGCTCACTCCTCACCAGGCCACTACTTGTCCAGCTTGTTAAATGGCCTGCGAAAAGGTGTGTGCGTGTGTGTG